GTACATGTTAAAAATACCACTGCGCAATCGTGACAAAACAAAAACCACGGGCGACGCACGACGGGCGACGGAAAATGGCATGTTTGGAACTGGTAAATGGCAGAATTGGGACACAACAAAAAGCAAAATGCGACGGACGACGGCAGATATGGAATTCCATAGATAACAAATATCTGGAAATAATCGTCATTATTTCAAACTCGACACGTTTGTCCCTTGCGAAAAAAAGTCACCTGATATTAGCCCAAGCTGAATAAAAGGAACCTAAGAAGTACCTTTCATGACTTTGCGTGTTTATTACGGGAAACTGAAGACGTTTCAGTCCTTAACAAGGTACCTTGTTGCCTATCAAGGATGACTTAAAGGCCTCTCTAGCTAGTCTCTAAGGGACGTCTTACCTCGTTGGGGGTTCGGCTAAGGCAATGTGTAAGTACACCCGCGGGAAAACCCATTGGACCACAATGATCGTTAGTCAGGCACCTCTCATAGGGCCCCCGTGACTCTGAAATCGACTGATGAGGGCACTTACATCTATCTTGCTCGAAAGAGGTTTATTTGTTGCATTGTGGCCTGCATTGTGAGGCGTCATTTGTTTATTTATTTTTCAAAGCGCCTTGTTTCAAATCAAATTAGTGTTTATACCCTCGATGTAGAGGCAAAAATGTGTTCGAGAGACAAGTGCGTTTTAACTCCAGAAACTGTACAGAATGCACGCATGTAAGAAAAAAGATGGAAGGAAGGAATGAGTTTGGTGGTTTGGACGAGAAATGGCCGGCAGTTTATTTCCACTGTCCTGCTGACCATGAGGTGTCACAACAACAACTTCTAGGTAGACTTGAAATCAAGTCGGTATTGGCCAGGTGTAGTCCACCTTCCTCGTATAATGCGCGGTGCGGTTTGGCGTGCGGTTTAATAACATGCGGGAACAGTCAGTGCAACCTCGCTCTCCAATAAGCATGTCCAGCGGTGCCCAATTACCGAATTGAACAATTTGCACGTCCATTTGGGCACAACATATGGGGCTTGCTACCAAAATTGGACGGAGCATTCTGAATGGCTAAGAAGTAATTTGAGAATATACAAATATTTATTTTAGGAGCAGTTTGATTGGTCAGTTGAACGTTTATTAGCAACAACCACAGTCTTGTTCATTGAAGAGGGTGTTTGCATTAATCTAAAAAAAAAATTTACCAAGAGAGTGTCAGTTATTTTACCCAAAAAGATAGTTAATAGATTTGTTCTTGAATAGTTATTTTTCCTTTTCTTTAAGCGTCGTATTAAAAGCGATATTAATGCAAGATTCGAAAGAAACTGGTACCAATCAAATATAGACATTTCTATATAACATTGATGAGTCTGTTATGTAGCGTGAGCTACTACTGGTGTTTTCCATGGAAATAGACCTTTTCACCCACGTGACCAAAAGTGCACATTTGTAAACAATACCACCGCACCATGTTGGTCCGCCTCGCATGCACTAATGCAAACATTGCATATTTGTCACAAGCTGGGTTAAAAAAATTTAGGTTTTGAGTTTCTGGAATACTTCACTGACGAAAAACCTTGAACAGATTTCAACTGTAAGCTGATACTTCTGTCTTCGAAGTTATAATTAAGGTGATCACTTAAAGTTCCGACACTGTAAAGATATAAATTACTACATTTACAATTGTTATAGCCAGTGTCACTGAATGCACCTCGGACAAGCTGCAGTCTTGAGCGTCTCCCTCACGGCCGTTTTCGCTCAGCCAACTGGGCTTCTCTCTGAAGGTGGACAATGAGGTCACAGTTGGGTTCCGTAGGTTGCTATCATTTCGCCCCGGAACTCGATCAAAGTAAACTGTAACTCCACTAAAGGGAGCCCTGAATTATTATTAGAAATTAAAAACTAATAGATTTGGCCAAATAGAGGAACATCAAATTCCAAATCAATTAAATTATCTGTTTTAAATGCAACTTTTCTCAGCCAATTCTGAGCGTGGTTAGGCCATCAAACGCACGTTCATACAATGGTGGTCTCATGAATTTTGTAAAAAGGCGTTGCAGTCTCTGAATGGCCGTGCCGTGAGTACACAGAAATTTGATCCTTTTTTGTACGCATTAAAATCAAAACCCAGAGTTTTCAAATAGTGACATGTTTATAAATCACAAGTAAATTCTGAAGGAACTTATAATTGATGGTAATTGGCAATAAATAAAGCGCAAAATCTTTATCAATTAATACATGTATATGGCGAGCTCACAGTTTTCGAGACAAGAGCTATCTTAAAAGCCTGACTCGCTTGGCTGAATATGACTGGAACCGAGTCCTAGTTGATCAGCTAAGTTATTGAAATTAAACTTTCTTAACAGCTATCGCAGGCAGATTCCTCTCAGCTATCGCCAACATGCAAGGAAAATTCTTTTTCCCCCAAAAATCAATACATGTATGTGTTATCTCACCACCGATCTGAGCTTCTTCAGTCTCTGGCATGAACTAACTAGAAATATTTGACCAGCTCCACTTCACCGGGAACTATCCCCCAAAGTCCGTCATATGTTATGTGTAATACAAGCCCACCATTTCTTTTAAACTTTCCCGCTCCGGCCTTATAGGGAAAACCGCACCCCAAAAATTAATCTAATTGACTTATTTGCTTTACTGTGCTGCGCATGATAGGACAGGCGGACCTTGATACTGTGGCGAAACAGGATAGCTGGGCAGACTTGTGTTTAGTCTGGGTCATTAATAATTCATGCGTGTGTAAATCATGCATTAAACATTTCAAGATAAATTAAATGCATTAAACATGCTGCGGCAACCAGAGGCGCGTATTTCCTTAGGGCTGCGTGGGTTGCCAGGACTTCTTGAGATGGCAGCTTGCTAACAAGAGCTCTGCGGAGTTGTGGCGGATACTGAGTTGTGGGTGCTAAATCTGACGTACGACCGCTGGTGGTTGGGGATCTACCTCAGTGTGCCTGGTGCGATCGGTTAGTGTGGTGTTTGTTCTCAGTTGCGGGAGAATCTCATTGAAGACTGGAGGATTGTTAGAAAGTCTCGTTTATTTAAGAAGTGATGGACGATAGGGTTAGGGAATCTGTGTGAACCAGTGTCACATCACAAGTCTGTGCTTCCCGTGGGTGATGTCACAAAGAATAGTTGAAACTAGGGTGCCACAAGACAAGGACAAGTCAAGCCACAAAACCAAACCCAAAGTTTGCAAATACAATAACAAAATATAATAATTTAATTCAATTTCAAAGGTGATACATGAATATATTTACAATTACCTCCAATCTTAAATTTACATAAACGTCACTCAACAGGTATCAGCTATTACAATGGTCCAGCCGACACTCGATATTTCTCCCCAGGTAATAAATGTAGCTGGCCTTCTAGAAAGGGTGCCCCCAGGGCAATGAACAATCACTCAGGATCGGAGTCCACCAAGAGTTGGGGTTGTTCACAATCTCAGGCTGATCACAGAGGATAAGGGTCCACACATACCTGGCGTTCCCACAGAACGGGGGGGGAAGATCCACACAGGGCGGGCGTTCACACAGAACAAGGGGTCCATCAAAGCATGGCGTTCACACAGAACAAGGGGTCCATCAAAGCATGGCGTTCACACAGAACAAGGGGTCCATCAAAGCATGGCGTTCACACAGAACAAGGGGTCCATCAAAGCATGGCGTTCACACATAACTAGGCGTCCTACCCAAGCTTGGCGTTCACACAGAACGAGGCATCCAGCCAAAGCATGGCGTTCACACAGAACGGGGCATCTACCCAGAGCAGACAGGCTCCGACCAGATTGTCCCCCAAAAGTCTTGGCATACATGTACATTTCGATGGCCCAACAGGCAGTATTCCCTGTGGGCGGGGCCAAGTGGCTACCACTATGCTGGCCCTACCGGGTAGCCCTTTGGTTAAATAAAGATAAAAAAAGACATTCTATGTACAAATTCTTCAAAGAACATGGAAACAGTAATTCTGCCTCTATCATAATTTCATCGGGATGGTTATCATAAGATGCGTATAAACCATGCTTAATTTTATATCTCCCGCTAATATCTGGCACGGTAAGGCACACCAAAATACTCCAAACTACTTGCTTATAGAATAATGTAGATAATTTGAAAAGTAAAAATAAGGTTACACTTACAGTTTTCCAACTGCCAACTACATGTATCATTCTTGAAAGATGTACATCTGAAATGCACTGTATTTTATAAGCATCAGCTGTCACACACACAGTATGTGCTTGCATGTCTATTCACACAGAAAGCTTGGGTGTGTCTGCCCTCCAATACATACATCCACACTGCACTCCCCATCTGAATAAGTGGAGCATACTCAAATTTGCATTTCTAATTTGCATAATAAACTACTTTGAGCTCCATAGAAAACTCATAATATGGCTGTTCCATTCTCAAAAACCGGGGGTGAGTTTACACAGGACAATTCAATACTGTATTTGCAGAAAAGAAAAACATTATGACAACCAGTTAATTGGGAAATCAGCGAAGCTTAAATTTGAAGGATTGCGTGCCGTTGTTCCATGCTTGTTGGCATACCGACGGTTGATTGCAGTCCTGGTCTGAGAGCTTGCTTTCCTCTTTGAGGTTTACTGGAAGCAGGTTTCCGCTAGAGTCTGGTGGGGACTATTGTAATTGCCTTTTTAATCAACTTACCTGTGTTATTTCATAATAACTAAAAGTGGTTTAGGGTTATTTTAGTAACCTGGAACCTTGTTGCAGTCAGGGTTACCTGGTTA